AGCTAGGGAACAGACCTTTACAAAAAGATCCCTAAGAGATCAAAGAGAAACAAAGGAAGAGAGAAACAGCAGCCTAGAGAATAGAAGAAAAATGGAGTTAATACTGTCAAATGCCTGAGAGCCGGACAAGATAAAGGCTGTAGGGCGTGTATGCCTTTAGAGGGAGCATGCTCTGTTAAATGGGGTTAGAAATCAGATGGCCCAGGGCTGAGGGCTGAGGACTGACTGACTCTCGGGACAAGGGAAAATGAATGAAGCCTGCTGCTTCAGAGTTCAGATGTATTAGGAAGGAGAGAGATCGAAGGCGTAGGCAGTGAGGGAGGGAGGGATCAGTTTGTTTTTGTTTGGTTTCTGGATGGAAGTCTACAGAATCTAGTAGGCAGAGAAAGAGAGTCAGCAGTGGAGACAAGGTTGAAGATAAAGGACAAACGGAGATGATGGAGGGCAAAAGGTCTCGCCCAGGGAAAGAGAGAGAATCAAACACAGGCTTGGCCTGAAGAGCGGAAAGGACTGATCCTACTTGGAGATTGGAGGAAAATACGAATGTTTATAGAGAAGAAATTGCAATGATTCACAAGTCATTTCCGCACAGTGACCTCAATTTTCTCGTTAAAATAGTAGGGGCACTGAGTGAAGGCGAGATTCTGTGGCTTGAGCCGGGTGACAGTTCTGAAGGTGTCAGCCCACAGTCATGGGGAGGGATTACTGACTGCTGCTCAGGGACTAACTCCAGTAAAAGAGCAGACTCGGCACAGGGGGTGTCTGGCTTGCTCTCGTGGCACTTACAAATCCTGTAGTAGGGTAGTAGTGTGGGTTCAAGGTCATATGCTCCGTCTAAGAACAAGCCAGAGAGCAAAGGAGAACCAGGCACTGGTACAAGTGCAAAATCCGGATCTGCCTGGGAAAAAGTATGGAAAGCCCAAAGACACTGGAATTTTCACCAAGTCGATAAAAACATCGGGGAGGGGAAGACAAGCATTACCTGATTCCTTCTTTATCTTAATTTCCCCACCGTTTTTATGTTCAGGCTTACCATTTTATAAATCATATTATAAATATAAAATTAGGAAGAAGCCAATAAAAAAAACTACAAGTGGTCAAACAGCAATCCTGGTCCCCTGAGCAGGAGTGAGAAGTTTTACCTGAGAGGTTCTGTGTGGGGTAGATAAAGGCTTGGAGGGTCTGGATGTTCACATTTGATTAGTGATTTCCAGACGCAGATTATTTTGATTCGGTGAGACAATGGGCCACGTTATAGAGGAGGATACCAGTAGGGCGCCATAGGCACATCCCATAACGCATAGAATTCCATCAACCATGTTAACAGTGCTGAGGTTGAGTACTATGGATTAGGTTAAATCTTATCAGCATTACAGAAGAACAAGACCAGAAAAAGCATTTGGATAATCGCAGAGAATGACATGACGGGAGAAGAGAAAGTTGGCCCGCAGCAGGACCACACCAGGTAATGCCAGATTGAGCCGCGTGCATGCAGAGCAGTTCTGTGAGAAGCAGGGAGACTCTGCAGGGAGCCAGAGTCATGCTACCTGTTTGAGAAGGATTCCGGGGAGAGCAAATTTGTAAAGCAAATTTGGGGAAGATGAAATCAAAAGAATCGAGGACACATTTGCTTTGGCAAAGTCACGCCTTGGGTAGCCTTAAGTAAAAGTTTTCATATATGAATGAAGGAAAGGCTTGAAATAAATCCATGATCCAACACACTGACAGTGCACAAGAAATCTTCCGTTTCTTTCTAAGTTTCTAACAGCCCTCTGCCTTGCACACCGTCCCTTTTCTCCCCATAATTTTGGTTTTCTAAAACAGATAAAGGTTGCCTTTGTGGTCAGCTCCTAGAGCCGGCCATTAATGCTCTCTATGTCACGGAATAAACAGGATCGGCTATAGACAGATTCAAATAGCTACTAAACAAACATGGCGCTCACTCTGTGACACTTTCACTGCTACAAAGCCGGCATCTTAATTTCCTCAGTTGACACGATGGTTAGATAAGTGTCATTCGGGAGACTCAGGAATTGTTACCCTAAGCTGTTTTGGAAATCTATTTGAGTTTTTATTTATTGCTATTGCTGTTGCTGTTTTTGTTATTCTGACCCAAACTCCTTCTAGAATTCACCAATAGATGGGAATATCCTGGAGTTTCTGTACCTCGTGACTCCATCAGCACACCTGGCCGTCTTGACTTTTATAATGTCTACTGTTTTCAGTTACTAGACTTCCCTGAGAAGCAAGGAGATCAAATGTGCACCACACCAGGCACAGTTTTGAGATTTTGTAATCCAGTCTGTCTTGTTTGAGTAATGACATTTTCCCGTCATGTTTACCTGAAGTAAAATCACTTGATTTATAGTTTTCTACACACAAAATTGCATAAGTTTTTCAATCGTATTCAGTTTAGTTAAGACTGAAAGATTTTTAGGATGTCAGTTAATGTGATCGGCTCATCTCTAGATATGACAGGATATGAAAAATGGGGGGAAAAAACACCTGGGCCGTACACATCTTCACACTCACGTGTTCAAAGCAAAACATCGTGTAGGAAAATTCCCAACCTGATTATCGTTAAAGAGAACCTGTATTCTCCTCTAATTTCCCCCCATGGCAGTCACGCCACCAAACCTAAGACATCACTACGTCACGCATTACCTAGATTATCTCCCACGAGCATGGGGTTTCACTAAGGCGAGCACACTGGTGGACTTTCTCCACTTCCAGGCACAAACTTAGCACAACAATCGAATGGTTACAATTAGTATATGTGTTGTTTTTTAAAAGTGGACCAAAGGAATAACAAAATGAATGATTGGAACTACTTTTCTAATGATAAAACCGGGTGTGGGGCATTTTCATTGACTCTCTTTGTTTCTTGTTTTGTTTGTCAAGTCAGAATCCCTCCAAGTTGCTCTGACTGTCCTAGAACCTGTGATACAGACCAGGCTGGCCTCAAACTTGCCTAGAGCCACCTGCGTCTATCTCCTGAAGAGCAAATTAAAGGCTTAAAGTATGCAACACCACACCTGGCCTCCCTGCACCTTTGCAAAGTTAATTGCTTTCAGTTATTTGACTGCTTAAATTTAGAAAAAACAAAACAAAAAAACAGAAAACAACTTTCTTGACAAAGTTTCAGGCCCTGCAACTCACTCAACTGTAATCCGCCTAAGACCCTTAGGAGCTTATAGCATCCCACCTCCCCCTGCAAGCTCCTCTCAGTCACCAGGAAACGAGTTGAGTCCCTAGTGAGGGTAATAAAATGAATGCAAATAAGAAAGAAGGTGAGTGGGTGGGACTACCTCTGTTATTTTCATAGGTGTTTGCATAACTATTTTCCACAACACTCAATTTGCAATTGTGACCAGGGAACCTCTTCTGCCTTAGACTAAATTTTTCTATATGCTGCACCTAACGAGCTACAGTCAGGCTGGAAAACAAGCTTTGGGTGTGAGCTGAGACAGAGCAAGGTTCTTCTGGTACAGACTCTAAGGCATGATGACAAATCAGGACTACCCCAGATAGTCCCCAGTTGGCTTTAGAATTCACTGCACACCCTTATACAATCTAGCCTCTCTTCTTAAATAATGTATTGAATTAACAATAAAAATTAGCTCTGGGTAAAATATTCATTGGATAAATGTTGGTAACCAAGACCATAGCTTACTCATTTTCAAAAACTAAGGCATTTAAACCACTGATTTACGTACGGTAAATGCAAATAAGTGATCCAACTCTTAGATGCATAAGAAAAGCCAGGCTGAAGACAAGCTTGACCAAATCAACATAAAAGTCTGTCAACCCTTTTCATTTAAAATTGCGATCAATGACAACTTGTCTCACAATATCAACGAGGAAGAAATCTACTATTTAAGAGGATCCCATTATGTGAACTTTAGCCCTCACTATAATCTTAACTTCTAAATGCATAGTTTACATCAATTATTTTAACAAGCTCTTTAACAACAGCTTAGCTTGTTTTTCTTTACCTGTCTTACATGTTAAACGTGAACACCCCCCCCCCCCCCCGCACAGGATGTTTTTGACCATTCAAACGAATCATCATTTCATAGCTGGCAAATATTCTTCACAAAGCGATTCTTAAACGTTTAAGGAAGTCAGAGAATGAATTCACTTATGTATAATATATATGTATGTATGTATAGAATTTCTTAAGAATGTCATTCAGGGTGACTTGATCACATTTGTTTCCAACTCCTCCCTATGATTCCTCCCAGATGCACTCACCCTCTACCTCTTCTCTAATGCTCCCTTTCTTCCTTCTTTTCTTTCTCTCTCTCTCTCTCTCTCTCTTTCTTTCTTTTAGAAAGTGTAGGTTGTTTTTTGTTTTAACTGAAATGTAAAGTTTGTGAAATTAGCTCTCACTATATAACCCTGGACTCCTAGAGAGCCATCAGCCTCTGCCTCCCAAATGCTGGGATGGAATGTCTGCATCATTATGCCTGGCTGTTTTGGTCATAAGAAATAAAGTGAATAGACATGCCTCATGTTTATTTTCCTGAGGATGGTACTACCTTCTAAAAGTGACACAAGAAGCAGCATTCCCGGGGCTGGAGAGATGGCTCAGAGGTTAAGAGCATTGCCTGCTCTTTCAAAGGTCCTGAGTTCAATTCCCAGCAACCACATGGTGGCTCACAACCATCTGTAATGAGGTCTGGTGCCCTCTTCTGGCCTGCAGGCATACACACAGACAGAATATTGTATACATAATAAATAAATAAATATTAAAAAAAAAAGAAGCAGCATTCCCTAGTAAAAGATATATATTTTTAAATCACCCCTAATGAAACCAAATATTATAATTCTGTTCTGGATAAGCTTTTAATGACCCCAAAGACACACGGTTAAAAATATGTATTTTAAGTAAGAATGTTTTGCTTCTCCAATTACACATTGCAATCATAACCTGGGACAATTAAGGAGTCACATCAGATGCTTGAAAGTATGACAAGAGTAATAAGGAGTCACCTCACCTTGTGGCCTCATGAACTGCAGTGTCCTCCCAAGAGTCTATGCTTCTGAATATACCTTTTCAGTCTGTTGATATCTTCTTACTTTTTTCTTTAAAAAAAAAAAAAAAGAAAGAAACCATGTTTCAATGTTACACAGCATTCTATGTTCAACCAGTAAAACTGACTACAAGTCCTTTGGGGGACTCTCCTGCCTCACCTCCCAGATCTCTTAGCAGAAGCAGGGGCAGCAGCAGCAATAGCAGCCCTAGCTAACCACAGCTTTCTCCCCATTCCAGTAGCTAACGAGAGGACTGGAACCAGAGACACCAAAGGTCCTTGAGTTCCTGGCATAACTTAGACTACAGCCTCAGACCTCTAATGGCTCCCCAGTCGGCTGCATTCTCCTTATTTATCATCTTTTCTCAGCCTTTGTTTGATTTTCCCCCTTTAGCAGATTTAGTCATGAGTTCTTTTCTAACTCCATCATAAGAAACCATATCTAGCACCGTGTCTTTAAATAGTACCATTTGTAAATAGACCTAAAGAAGTCAGATCAGAGTTCTAGACCAGATGTGGTCCATGACCTTGAGAGTAGCAGGCACCTTATAATCTAGTCCACAGTTTTACATGAATGGCCATCAGCCTTCTTACATTTGAAATGCCAGCAAATGCAATGAAAAGAAAGGAAACAATAAAGAGAGACAAATTTGCCCCTTCCAGGCTTTCTGTCTTTCCCATTTAAGTGTATGCCATGTAGGATATTTCAGTTGTATTTTAATAAATAAAGCTTGCCTGGAGATCAGAGAGTAAAACAGCTCCACTGGTCGGTCACACAGAACAGGCAGGGGTGACACACACCTTTAATGCTAGTAGACACACTAGTTTGCATAGAAATCAGGCAGTAGTGGTGCACACCTTTAATCCCAGCACTAGAGAGAATACAAAATGAGAGGAGACAGCTCTCACACACAGTCTCATTCTGAGGTTCGTGGAGGCAGGATCGCCATTTCAGACTGAGGTAGAAGAAAGAGCCAGGGGCTGGCTGTTTGCTTTGTTTGACCTTCAGGTTGAACCTCAATATCTGTCATCTGTCTCTGGGTTTGTATTAGTAGCGCTACAATTGTCACCATTCAAATTTATATTTTTATTTGTGTGTATGTGTGTGTGTGTGTAAGAGAGAGAGAGAGAGAGAGAGAGAGAGAGAGAGAGAGAGAGAGAATAGTCAAGTGTTCCACATGTGTAGGTGCCTACAGAAGACAGGAAAAGGTGAATAAGCCCTTGGAGCTCAGGTGCTCTGGGAAAGAGGAAGCATTCTTTTGAAAAAGTAGTTTTGAAATTATTATTTAATTATATAATTTCCCTTTTCCTTTTCGTCCTCTGAAACTCTTCCCTTAATCCACCTTTCTCACTTTCAAATTCATGGCTTTTTTCTTTAACTGCTGCTTTTACAGATATTCCTAAATATATAAATAGAACCTATTTAGTCCATATAGTCTTATTTGTATGTATGTTTTCAGGAAGGCCTATTTAGTATTGAATAGCCAGTTGGTGGACTCTAAGCAACATCCCCATTCAGACCAATAATTAGCCACATTAAAAACCTAGTTATCTTAGAAAAACGGTGAATTCAAAGATGGAGACAGTAGGATTCCAAGATCAACCGGAAGCACCGTATAATACAGAAAGAAAGGAACACAAAATATTCATAATGCATTACTAGCAAGGCTTGCTATAGCTTAGTGGTAGGTCATCTGGCTTCCATGCTCGAAGACCAGGGTTTAATCCCTCACAACAGGAAAAAAAGGAAGAAATAAAGACTTAACAACCAGCAGAAAAATGTCAGTGACCAATGTGAGAACAATGTAAACAATAAAAATTATGTATCTATACCATACACTCATAACCCAAAGAACAAAGCCAGTATAAATGATTGTGTCCTGAAATAAATGACTGGAAAATGCTGGAGAAGGAACGATTTCTTACAGTGATCTCCAAATAACACATAGAGAAGAGAAATAGGGGCTGTTCCCCACTCCTGACATGAAGGTGAACTAGATTTACTGAATAAAGCGAGGCCGTGGAACAAACGGAGATGAAGAAGGCTAACAAGGCACACCATCTAACTCAGGGCATTGTCTCAATTGTTCCTTGATCACAAAAAGACTATTCATAGAGAAACTAAAAATCTGGTAGGAGTTATTTAGCGGTATTTTCTTAGTTATGACAAGTGCATCAAGGTTAAGTAGAAAATTAACACTGGGGGAAGCTGGGCAAGACATTCAAAAGAATTCTCTATGCTTTGTTTGCAAATCCCCCATGAATCTAAAGTTATTTTAAAATAAAAAAGTTTATTTCATGGATTAGAAGACAGCTCAGTGGTAGAGTGTTTGCTTATCGTGTGTGAGGTAAATGGGTTCTTAAAAGACTAAAGAAAGTTGCACATGGCGGTGCCCGCCTGTAATCCCAGCACTTGGGAGGAAGAGGCAGCTGGATCTCTGCCAGTCTGGTGTAGATAGTGAATTTCAGAACAGCCAGGGCTACACCAAGAAACTTTGTCTTAGGAGCAAAACAAATGAGAGAGGGAGAGAGAGAGAGAGAGAGAGAGAGAGAGAGAGAGAGAGGAAAAATAATATTTCAATATACAATGTGATATTTGTCTTCACTTGATATACCTATCCAACAAAGTTGAAACAGTAATATCTAAGAACACTTTCTAAAATGTATGTATTGGGGCATGTTCATAGTAGGATAAAAACTACAATGGAGAGAAAACTTTCACAGGGGAATAGTTATCTCAATTTTACATGCCCATATGTTGGAATGTCATGTAATCATTTTTAACAAGTAAAATAAAGCTATGATAAATAACACTGGGAAATCCAATGAAGTACTATTGAGTAAGAAAAGCAGTTTTCAGAATAATATACATGATTCATATTTTCACAAAATGCTTTCATGGGAATATGTATATTTCGGTTAAAACATGAAAGACTGCAGAAGAGTTACCTCCAGAGGAAAGAGAAAAATAGGATTAGAAAAGAAGAGACATACACAATTTCTGTGATATGAAGATAATAAAGCCTTTCTTCTGTATGAAATCAATCAGTTTTAAAGCTCCCAACTACTTATAAACACACACACCAACAAATCAGAACACAGCATCCACAATATTTTAGTCTATTTTCAAAAATGCTTTGGATTTTTAGTTGATACTAGGGTTCCTTAAACTCACAAAGAAAACGGAGAATTGCTAAAAATGACCAGGCTCCCCGGAAATGCATAAGTTCTTACAGATGGTTTTGGGAAGACATCTAAACTGAACACAGTGTCAGTAGACTTTCATGATCAACCATAGAAAATAGAAATAAGCCCTGAGAAAAAATAAACTATGTCCATTGGCCTGAAGGAAACTCAGAGCTCTTCAGTGTTTTTGCTGGCTCAATTTCTAATTCAGCAGCCTCAGGTGTGGTGGGATATTTGTATACCTTGTGAAGGTGTTGGTGTGACTGGTGTAATAAAAAGCTAAACAGCCAATAACTATGCAGAGAAAATAGGTGGGACTTCCAGGCATACAGAGGAGCTGGGGATGAATCTAAGATGCCAGGAGACAAGAAAATCAGGATGGATGGTACATGGCAGAACACAGGTTAATAGAAATAGGTTAATTTAAGTGATAAGAGCTAATTTGGAATAAGCCTAGGCTATAGGCTGAGCTTTCACAATTAATAAGAAATCTCCATGTCATTATTTGGGAGCCAGCAGTACAGAGAAAGACTAGTTACACTCAGGTGCCTGACTTAATAGTTATGATGGACATTTTCTATATACCTCAGCCTACAGGGCATGAATGCCCACATAAGGCCTTAACTGATGGCTAGGGCAATCTTGACAACCTTTATCCTCTCTTAAGATGAGGACTAGAGCCGGGCGATGGTGGCGCACGCCTTTAATCCCAGCACTCGGGAGGCAGAGGCAGGCGGATCTCAGTGAGTTCGAGACCAGCCTGGTCTACAGAGCTAGTTCCAGGACAGGCTCCAAAGCCACAGAGAAACCCTGTCTCGAAAAACCAAAAAAAAAAAAAAAAAAAAAAAAAAAAGATGAGGACTAGAGACTGAAGAGATGTCTCAGCAGTTAGGAATGCGCCAATATGTGCCAACATCCAACAGTTCACAACTACCTATTACTACAGCTTCAGGGGATTCTAACGCCCTCTTCTGGTTTCCACAGGCATTGCACTATTGAACATGACCACACATAGATAAACAGGATTAAAAGTGAGGACATCAAGAAAACAAGGCCTCCTAAACACCGTAGGAATGGTGCTCATATAAACCCACAGACTGCAGCAGCACGCACAGGGCCTAAGCCAGATAAGATAGGGCCCCTGCCCTAAGAGAGGAAATGGACACAATTCCCACCCTTCACCCAGAAGATAGCTCCAATTGGTAACCACTTGCAAAGGAAAAACTGGTTTTCTACAATGGGGTCTCACTGGGTATACAAACCAATCTTAAGGGCAGGCCCCATGCCCAGGAGTAGATGAAGAACACAAAATGAACCCAGTGGAATTTTCTGGAGGTTCTTAGTGTCATAATGGTTTTCAGGGCATTTTCTTTTTTTACCTTACTGGTCATATATATTATGATTCGGGGTTCTGCGTTTTTATGGGATTTCTGGATGTACAAACAGATATGGCTCTGTGTCGGTATCTGTTTCTTTCGATTTTTCTTTGGTTATTTGTTTGTTTGTTTGTTTGTTTGTTTCTGTCTGATTCTGGTTCATTTGTTCTTATTTTATATTGTTTTACTTTACTACGGTTTTATGAATGGCAGCTTGTTTTCTAATGGGAGAAAAAGAAAGGAAATGAATGGGGGTAGGGAGAGAGGAGGGGAGGATCTGCTGGGAGAGAGGAAAATAATCAAAATGAAAAAATAATAGAAAAGAAAATTGTTTCTAAGAACTAGAAAGCCAGGTGTGGTGGCACTCACAGAAGCAGGTGGGTCTCTGTGAACTGGAGGCCAGCCTTGTGCACTGAATAAGTGCCAGGACAGCCAGAGATACATAGTAAGACCTTGTTTCAAAAAAAAAAGGGGGGGGGGGATAAAAAAC